CTGATGGAGCCTATGTGCTTGGCCAGCAGACCAGCCGGGATTTCCGGCAGCGAGTCCACCTGGTGTGCGAGTGGCGGATGTCTGGCAAAGACCTGTTCCACGTGGTCTCTAAGCAGGCGGAGCTCAGAGGTAGAGTCCAACAGCAGACCATCCGGTCCCTGAAGCTGTGCCTTAGTTTGGGGTTCCCAAGGTCGGAGCTTCTTTAAGGTCTTATGTGCGATGTAGGAATCGTGTCTGGCACACGCCTCATCGACCTCAGCCTGGAAAGCTCGGTGTCGTTCCTTCTTGGCTAAGTAGAGAGCCTGCTTATGCCATCGATTCAGGTCCTCCAAAGACTGATCTAGGTCGGATAAGGTGGTTATGGAGTCCTCATGCAAAGAACGAATATGAGCGACTCGACTCCACATTCGCAGCGTCGCACGGTGCTGAGCAGTTTCAGGAGCTTGCTGAGGCCGTGGTTTGGGGAAAAACAGTGCAGAGGCCTCCAGCAGTACCTGATTAACTTCATCAGGCGTGTGAGTCCGAGAGGACAGACGCTGGCCCACCCAGTCTTGCATGCGACCGGCTATTGGCAGACCTGAACGGACAGCCGTCTCTAGAGCTTCCTTATGAAAGGTCGTGGAAGGACAAGTAGGCTTTGGCAGATTCCAGTGCTGGGTGGGTCTGAGTTGAGCCAAGACTGGAAGGTGGCCGCCCCTCTTCCATTTGCCGAGCTGAAGATCCTTGCACGGCCGAGACTGCTTTGCCAGGCCCTTGGCCGAGGCTTCTGAAGTGAGCAGGAAGTCAATTTGTGATCCCTGACCATTCAGGAAGAAAGTGTGACCTGCACCACTAGACCATGTGTTAAGAGCTACCAACCGATGGGAGGAGACTAAGGCTTGGAACGATTCATCCTGCATCTGAGTTTGCTCTGGCTTGGTGCTACACTGACCTACCAGACCCTCCTGCGGGGTCAGTCGAGCATTAAAGTCTCCTGCCAAGAGAAAAGTATCTCGCGCTGGAATGGCCCGTATCGCAGCCGACAGATCGCGGAGCAGGTGTGAGCGGTCATCCTTGTTCTGCTGTGGAGTCTTCTTAGAAGACCAGGCATGTTGGTAAACCGCTAGTACATGCACACGAGCCCCAAGCCACGGGAAGATGACCTGAATGAGCCTTCCCCGGCGTTGCTCGCGCCATCTTATCTTCTGCTTGTCTATCTGCGGAGAGAGAAGAACCATGACGCCGTCCGCTCGGCTTGTGTCGTGAACAGCCGGCTGCGTGGCAGCGCCTTGCTTGGGGCGTTGCCCTGAAGTGGCTTTACCTTTAGGTGCTCGAGCAGCCCCTTTTGTGGCGGAGCTTACGCAGTGCCAGCCTTCGACATCAAATTCTGCTGTCTCACTCCAGTGGGTTTCCTGAAGGACAAGAATGTCACAGACTGACTTGGCCTCCGTGCGAAGCCATGTCTTCACTTCTGCCCATTGTTGCATGCCAAGGTGCCCTGCATTCCAGGAAAGAACACGAAGAGACTTGCTGGCACGACCGCCTCTCGGGCGCGAGCGGAAACTGGCGGAGAAACCTGAGGGACCTGAAGGAGAAATCGTGGAGCTAGGCTGCACTGGGAGGGGGGGAGGGGAGGGGGGGGTGAGTCCACTGCGACGCAGATGTTCAGGCGTCAACGTACCATTCCGGTACGGGATGCTTTCTTGTGTTCTATGAACCTTATTGCAAGCCTTGCGAAAGGCCTTCTTGCGAATGCTCTCAAATGAATGCTGGTGCATTGGCGATTGCGCCGTCCGCTAGTTTCGCCGGAAAGAGAGAACTCGAACCGACTCCTTTCACCCTGCGGAAAAGGTGAAAACCACTACCGCTTACCTCATGCCAAGGTTGTATAACTGCAGACAGAGGTCCGGGAATTGGGACCCGGTAGATCACAGCGACACGCGGCTCCGGGAACAGCTATGGCTCAGTAAGAGGACGGTCCCTTAAGCTTCGCAGAAGGGGCACGTTGCGAGCCTCTAGCGTTGGTACCCAGAGCCTTGTTAGCAAAGCTACACAGCCTGCTGTGATCCATAGCGGCTACAACCACCACAACCACAAGCACAGCCACAACCACAACCACAGCCACAATCACAGCCACAACCACAGCCACAACCACAACCACAGCCACAGCACAGCCACAGCCACAGCCACAACCACAACCAATGCAGCAAGCAGAAGCATCAGCATGCGGCAACTGCTGCGACCTGCCTGCTCCTGAAAACATTTTGCTGGTTCGAACAATTTGCTCTTCCCTCCACCACCGAGAGAAAAACGACTACTATTCAATATTAGCATTGCTACTACTCTCTGCTGAAAAGCCGCAGACCACGAAGGAAGAGCGACGCGCTACTTGGGAAAGCTACCAGGTTGGTCACCTTCGCGCGAAGCGAGTCCACGAAGTTTTCTGTCGGACATCGAGGCTGTCCACCGAATGCAACTCGAGGACCGAAACGGGTGGTTCTAGCCAAAGTGCCAACGTGCATTTGCACGCTGCACGAGGAACTGGCTGCCAGCTTTTTGTTGCTCCAACAGGCACACACACGTCCGTTTGGAAAAGACATCTCTGATTTCGGGGCGACTGTAGGGTGAGGCAATCATGTTGGCAACACGAAACGCGGCGCTGATTTCACACACCCTGGGCGCGAGGAACACCACTAACTACTACATCTACTTCAGCGCATCTACAACAAGCTCAACACAGCACCAACAGTCTGTCCTTGTCATCGGATCTTATTGCGATGTGCAGCGGTTCGTCCGAATCCTCGCCAGCATTCTCCCCCTTGGACCCTGATCCGCGGCCACGCAGCCACACATTGGCGCCTGTGGTGCTGCTGATGTGCTTCACATTGCGGCCACCTTCCACTGGCTGAGCAAAAAAACTCCCAAGGCCCTATGCTAACTGTCTTCTTTTTAACCGCCCGCCTTTTCCTATCAGCTTCGCAACTAGTGGAAACCGCGGGTCCAGTTGCTCCCCTTCCGCCAAGGTGATCTTGTGCACTTGAACGTTCTCTTCGCTTTGCTGGTCCTGCGGAGTGTCCTGGTCCAAAGCGCAGGATAAAAAACTCGCCGCTCGCGAAGAGGGATTGAAACTTACTTGGAAACACACTGTCGACTGGAGCTAGTGCATGCTTTGCGACAGGGAAAAATGCTCTGCGACAATCGAAGCTATCGTTCTGCCCTGCAGATAAACCTGCTGGGCTGCCATGACATCCCGTCTTTGCTGCGAGCAGCAGTCACTCATTCTTGGGACTGCTGTGGATTGTCGATGCATCGCAGCAACAAGCATCCACAATGAGCCCAACACAGCATGCCATGCAGGTCCCGCATCGTTGTGCCTTAATTTCGACGACTCGCCTGGTGCCGTGTATGGAGCGGGCTGGCAGTTGAAAACCGGTTCAGGAGCCACGGGTTACTTGACTCCTCCATCCGCGGTTTGGCTGAGACAAGAGGTGGGAAGACGGCCTCATGTCGAGGCAGCTTTCTTAACGTCTGCCGCATGGCCCCTTAACTTGGTCGATCCTCAAGACGGACACTCCACGAACTAGGTAGACACGATTCTCCAAACAGTTGTCCACAATGCCCTCATGACATCCGCTACGGCCGTGGGCTCTTCCGAAAAACGTGCTCACTAGGGCCAGCGGCTTGAAGCAAAACCGGCCGAAACGAATGCGCTGCTGGTGTCACGATAACAGGAGTGCAGGACTACCCTTTCACCCAGGCTCCTTGCTCTTGCCTTTGGTGCCTTTATTGCCTTTGGCGCCCTTGCTGTCGTTACCGTCTTTGCCTTTGCCCTTGCCTTTGTCCGAAGAGCTGTCTCTCTTGCCTTTCTGGCCACCTGCACACGCATAGCTTCAAGCGACTTCTGATTGAGGTGGTTTATCTGATGCCCACCAACCTGTATTTTCAAATCAGCAGAAGGGCAGACAGGGACTATCCAAAAAGGCACTGCGCCGCCTTGTGCATCGCAACCACCTGCTGTGAAGTGCTTGCTCTTGCCACTCCTTGCGAGTGATTGAATGTCGACATCAAGAGCTCTTCCAGCGCACAAAGGTCTGCATGACAAAATGCGAAACCAAAGCTCTCATCGCGATCTCCGCGTCCGCTCTTACCCTTGCCGCCCTTGCCGCCCTTGCCCTTGTCTTGCGGCACCGAATCGGTCTCCGAGAGCTGCAGGAGCTCCTGCGAAGACCCCTGGGCCCTCCATCCAGGCCCTCCACCCTCCTCTCAACCTCTGAGCTCTCTGTCTACCTTCAGCATTCGATGAGCATTTCTTGCAGCCTTGGCAAACCTCTGCGGCAACCCCAGGGCTTGTAGGTCAGATACTCCCACAGACCTGGCAAAATGAGCGAGCAGCACCGGGGCGGATGTTGAAAACCTATGCAGACATCGAACACAAAGCCCCCCGAGTGCAGCATTCTTAAGGTGAGGCATTGAATGCAGACGTGGTTTGTTCCTTCGGATTCAGCCCTCCCGCGATTAAAGGGCTGTAAATCGAAGGGTCCATATCGAATCACACTGACAAACCCATCCTCCACAGGTTGAGCTTCAAGCGCCTTAAGCTCTCCATGGAGTCGTACCAGTTTTCCTCCAAGATCTTGAGGAAAGGCTGCACATCAGCCCAGCTGCGCCCCAGTGACTTGCCGACGGCCTTCGTGCTCAGAACATCTCGCGATTCTGCACCATCACAGCATCATCGTCATTCAGAGCTAATTAGTTTAATCGTGCTCACGCCTGGACGGCATCCGGCAATCTCGGCGGAGACATGTTTCGAACTGACAATGTTTGTTTGAAGCTGCTGGGTGACTGCGAAGAGCTGATATCAAGCAGCAAAGCGAAAACATGATGTGGTATGCGATGGAACCTGACACGCAGACTGCCTTGCTGCAAGAGCCGAATGCACATTAAATGGCAGGGAGAAGTTTGCAGCGATTTGCAGCATGATGACGTCAAACCACGCAAGCAAGAAAGCGATGCAACATGGCCCGCTGTGCCGGCGCTGTGAGCAGCCGTAGCCTCTAAGTCGGCACACAAGGAGGCACAATTGTCTAAAGGAATGGTTGCGGCAGCTAAGATGATGGCATTGCTTCCAGCCGGTATCGGCCGGTGACCGGCATACGGCCTGTCCCACCAAATGTCACCAGCCAAGGCCAACGTGCAACCCAGTACGACAGCAGCTGCCCAAAAGCCCAAATCCAAAGTATCGCTCATAACACATCTGGGCGCCGAACACGATGAGAGATGTTGTACTGGCACAAGGTCTGGGCAGGAGATGGGCGAAACAACCCATTGCAAGTCAAAACACCGAGGCTTCGGTGTCTGGATTCCTCAACTCCCGTTTCCAACTTTTGGTGGTGGTGCTGGCACGACTGCTGTATCTAGACACCCAGCAAAACGGGTCAGCACATAGCTGAAGGCATTTCCATGGCAGCAATAGCAAGCATCCAAAGCACGTGAAGCAAGGGCGGTGCAGATGCAGTGCAAAGGGCACAGAGAAGAAGGAACATGGGTTCAGGGTCCGAGCACATTCTTTTGTTTAAGGCCTTGAGATCCCGAGTTTTGTCCCCGTTGTTTGGAAACTCTGGGGTTTTGGAGCCGCTTTCGGCCTTGCTCTGGTTTCGCGAAAGAAGTGCTCATCCCGGAAACTGCGCAGCCACAGGTGGAGTCGCCCGATTTAGTTTGAATTACATTGCACTGGACAGCCCCTCTGCAGCGAATAAGCTTCCGTCGTCACGGCGACAGATCTAGTAGATCTTGTTGCGCTCGACACGTTCTCACCGACAAGTGAAGGACCTTTGCTGGAACTACTTGTCCATTACACCACTGATCGAGCAAACTCCTCGCAAGGGAACGACCACTGTGAAGGCTGGAGCTCGACGAACTGTCGCAACTCAAACGACTACCTCGGCACATGCTCGTCAAAGCAGCCCATCCAGGATACGGCAACAAGAACGAAAGTACATTCAAGTCACTTTGATTTGCCCTGCTTGGTGAACCGGCCTGGGGCCTTGGTCGAAAGCCACAGGAAACATGGCAATCGGTCCCAAAACAAACTGTGCCACCGGCGCAGGGGCTGAGCGAGCCTCGGGCCGACATGAGTTCACAGTTCACACATGTCACAGCCTCCGGAGGTATCCGAGTGACGGGCTGGAGGACTGTTGCTCAATAAGGGGTTCGGCCTGCGTTCTCGTATTTTGCTCCGCGCCTCAGATCACAGCAACGAATCTCAAAGGATTAACGAACATTCTCCAGCGGCAAGTTGCAGAACCACAGGACGACTCTCGAAGAGCCTGGGCAGTTAACAGCAAAGGAATGCAGGAAGGCATGCGCAAGTCCTGGGATGCAAGCACTGTTCAGCTTGCTGGTGCTAGAAGATCGCGCTGTCAAGCATGAACCGCCTTCGAGCTAGGGAAGCCTGACCCCTCTCCCCCTAATGAGAAAGCTAAGCTTCCAGCCTCGCTTGCCCCCACTCAGCCTCGAATGGGCACACAACACGCATCACCAGGTGCACCAAGAGTGGCAGCAGCTGCCTGGGCACGCTGTTCCTTCCACCTTCTGGGTTGTTTTCATCCTGTGTGCTGATGGCTATCATTATTAAATACAGAACATACAAAAAAAGAAGCCGATGGGTCCCTCGGAACACCGAATCGAGGAGAGATCTTCTCTGGAAGCCTCAGTGCGAACACTGGTGTTACCATCATCATGACTCATGACACTTGCGCTTGAGTAAGCGAGCAACTTCTTCGTCACATCTGAAGACGGCTGTGGTGAGGACAAAGCTGCATAAGGAGCAACTGGCACGTTTCCACCTGGGTGGAGATTGTGACATGGACACCTCGCGATCTGACTTGTCTTGGCCCTGCGCGTGGTGACAACGGTGCCCTGGGCCACTGCATGATCAAATGCTAGCTATGCAACAGTTGACCCAACCACGCGCTAGCCTGGGCGAAGCCTCCCCATCAGCATCATTGTTTTGCCTCACCCACTACCGTATCCATGGTGAACAGTACTGATCGCAACTCCCAGGACTCCACGGGTGAGTGCAAGTTCATAGGTGCCCGAGACATGGGCAAAGACAGCCGCGGGATGATGTATCGATCCGACCTGGTCCAGCTTGTCACGGCAACGCCACATACAGAGGTTGCAGCACCACGAACAGCAGAAACCCTGAAAGGCCACAGCGGGGAACGGGAACGCTTCGCAGCTCTATCGACCTTACATAAACAAAAATCTGGGCCTTTGTTCTCCGAAACAAACGGTCTATAACAAATCCAAGTTGTGGCTCCTGCCGAGGGTGGCCCTTTCGGAAGCACGGCCATGCCATCAAATGACACTGCCGCTGGCTTGCGATATTATTTAACAGTCTTGCTCTTGCAAATTTACTAACATTTTACCCATGAGGCTTGAACCATACGCTGATCAACACTCTACGGAAGCATCGAACCCGCCCCAAAAAATGCGTGGAAGAAGAATTGCTATCAATATCTACAAAGCCATTTTTCCCATCCCACAGAGGCCCTATGCGAAACGAACCGACAATTCGTTCCCCCTCGCGCCTATTTTGCGACAGCCGATGCGCAGTCCCAGTGCATGGGAGGCGTCGGGCCAACGAGCTTCTCAGCCAAGTCACTGGCCGGCTAAATCCACAGGGAGCTCGAGCATTGAGTTGGCGAACGCTTGCACCGTGCGACATGAGCAGCATGTCGAGCGGCAGAGCGACGGAAGGGCACTGTGGGCACTGGCGGCACCAGCCGCAGGAAGGTTTCGGATTCCGAACCCCAGCGACCGCCTGCGTCGACGCGAAACAGGCCAAACATCACGAGCATGCAGCGTGGGCTGCATTGCACCTCCGGGTAAGTACGGTGCCGCTTTCTCCACATCGCTCGCTGGATTGACGCGAGGCCAGGCCTCAGCACCCTGTCGTGGCTCGCGTGCTCAGGGTTCAACTGATGGCAAGCCGCGAGCCACAGCGGAAGCCTTGCGCAATATTGAACACGATCCCGGTCCTTGCGGGTGTGAGAGGCGGGAATCGGCAGGTTCATGTCAAACACAGCACATTGTGGGCGACACGCGTCCCGGCCTGCTGGCGCATTCGTGCGACAGCACGCTCCAGCGGCACAGCACGCGTTGCTAAAGCACCTGACGTGACGCCATTTGCGGTCCGCCGGGCAATGTCCAGTCTACAGTCTCCCACGCCTGTTTCCGGCCGCGAAAAATCACGAAGCACCTACCGTGTCCTACGGAGCGCTGCTGCCAGGGCTTTAGCCCGGCGCCAGCACACGTCCGCGAGCGGAGCTACAACAAAGCACGACCAGCGGGCAACCCAAGCTGCACGCTCGGCCGCTCGCATAGCAGCCTGTGTGTGCGAAGCCCGCGGCACCCGGAGCAGGGCTGCGGTCCACGGGCTGGTTAGGCGCAGGGCGCCGGCAGGCGGCTGGCAGCCACGCAAGTGGCCGTCCCCGTGCGGAGGGTGCGGAGCAGCAGGCGCCGCCGCAACGCTCCAGTCGGGTTCTGGAACCAGTCTCACGCACTCGCGTCGCTGCCGCGCAATCCGCGGCGAGGGCTGGCGGGTGGCGTTTGCGTCGAGCAGCTCCCTGAACAGTTCGCCCCTCGCCCAGGAAGCCGCTCCTGCCCAACTATCGTACGAGGCAACTAAGAAGTGCATCTCAGTATGCCCGCTCGCTGCCTTCATGATTGTCGGGGACCCCCGGCAACTGCAGTCCCAAAAACTCCAACAGCCAACCCACACAACCACAGTAGTGATTCGTAGAGGCATGGAAACTGAAACGGGTCCGCCGGTGAATCAAGGGACAGCGGCACAAAGCCACTTACTTGAACGAAGACTGACAACAATAATATGAGTATATGCATACACTGACAAGGGTCCGTCATGTAGCAGATGCTTTCGATCTTGCATCGCCATGACCAAAGTCGCCCGCACGCCGGGTGGTTTATGCAGCTGGGAAGCTGTTGCGATCAAAGCATGAGCGCTCGTGCTGAAAAGAAAGTCGTGTCGCAGTGCAAGCGTGGCTTCTTGGCAAGCTCAATGCCTTTGTCTGTGGTGCTTTAGCAAAAGCCGCCTGACAAGCCAATCTCTGCTGTCTCTGCTGTCCTTTATTTTGTGAATCTTTCTTGCTTCCTAGCTGTGCAATATCTGTGTTCTGTCGTGCTTCAACCAGAACTGCCTGGCAAACTTGTTGGTGCCGCTGTATGTTCACAAGCGTTACCGGTGCTTGTGATTGGTGCGTAAAGCAAAACCGTCACTGCTGAACCTTCGCATTTCATTCTTGATTATGCAAATTACGAACTTCAGCACATGGGGGTGCGATACCTTACTGTCTCACGACATGCAGTGTGCAGCACCGCATGCAAGAGTGCATGTACTCGCGGGCATGACAGCGCGAAGCCGTCATCTTCTTGTGAATCTTCATGCTTCTTTTTTTTTTTCGCGCCTCTTTTCCGCCTACAAGGTGGCTGTCCCAGTATGCTGCCAGAGGCAGGCTGACTACCGCCGCCGGCTAGGTAGGTGGCTGTGTTTGCACAGCCGATCTGCACAAATCGAGAAGTGTACTAAGGCAGTTGTCAGGACCAGTGAAGCATAAGCATGGCCCCTGCGCAAGGACGACACGCCACACATTGTGGCTCAAGCATGGTGCACAAATCGAGAAGTGTACCAAGGTCTCGGCAGGGGTTTGTAATCTTCAGAGTTGGGAGTTCGGAGTGGGGTTCCGAGGGTACCCGATATCCTCGTTCCCTCTTTGTCCCTAACCCTTTCAGGGTCATTTGGAGCTTGATTTGAAGGTGGTGACTGTGTAGTGTTGATGGTGACATGGATTATAGTTCGCTAGATGATGTACCATATAGCGTAAGGATGAACCTGCAGCAACAACAACATCAGCAGCATCAGATTATGTCACCAGCGTTCAGCATCGTCACAGACAGCAGCCCTCAACAAACACAGGTGATGAGCCCAAACGCTCCACCGCAATCCCTTTCTGCAGCGAGTGCTTCAGTGGCACCACAGCTTCAGCACTTCGACGAGCCGTCATCAGAAAATGTGGTACGTATGAGGATGCAGCAGATGTTGAAAATTCAAGCGCCAGCCGAAGTTCTGAGATTGCTTCAATCATCAGCTGCAGTAGTGGCAGACGCTAAGACCATCAAGGACGTGCAGAGCAATGTTCGTTTGGTGGCTCAGGAGCTTGAAGCAAGAACAGAACGATTGGCATCGTGCTTGTCGGGAATTACCGGGGACCTAGATGGGGTGAAACATCAATCAGAGAGACTGCTCACTGCTGCAAGTGATCATCATGTTGCCTTGAACAACGCCAATGACAAGTTCAAACAGCTTGATGAACAGATCCAGCAGATAGAAAGTGCAGCCACCCAGTTGTCGAGGCGTCAGGTCACCTTTGAGTCTACGATGGAGACTCGGTTGGGTGTCCTTGAGAATCAGATTATTCAGTTGCAAGCTCAGGCTACATCAGCGGACGCGCTGAAAGATGAAGTGGTTTCGATGAAAGCTACATTGTCAAGGTTTGAGCGACAGCAACCCGAGATACAACAAAGCGCGCAATTCAAGAGTGAGACCCGCATTCAGCGCAGAATCGATGAGATGGATGAGTTGTTGAAACATTATTTCGAACGTGTGGATGGAAATGAGAAACTCTGTGAGAAGCTTAGACAGCGGTCGGAGGATCTCACCAGCCGTTTTGAAACCTTGCAGACTCACGTTGATGTGGGGTTTAGTTCGGAATCCAGAGCTTCATCACGTCGTCCTCAATTTCAGATGCCCCAGCAGATTGCAGAGGAGGTGTCCAATGAGAGGTTTGAGGAGGAGGCGAAGGCTCAGGAGATCATCGAAACACCAAGGCATCGCACAACGTCAGGTGTCCAGATGTTCCAGATGACTCCCCAGCGTGACGGAGCCGATGATTCATGGAAGAAGGATGCTGTTGATGAGTGGCTGGAACAAGTAGAGGAACCTCAGGTTGTGCAGTCAGTTCCTGCGGAGCCTCCAGGTCTAGGAAGTTCTGGTGCTAAGATTCCAGCGGGACAATGGAAATTGATCAAAGATTTTCCCAAACTCACAATTCCTCATGGAGAACCGTGGGAAAAGGGAATGGTGTTTAGACAGTGGTGTACAGAAGCCGCATCATTGGCAGAGGCGATATCTCCATCGTTCGCGCAGTTCTTCCGAAAGCGAGTGCAGGAGGGACAGACCAATTATGAGAAGCGTTTGAGGGATGGTTGTGAGTCAACGTTGCCAGTAGTCCATCAGGAGGAGCGGGAGATGGAAACCCGCTTGAGCCTAGCTCTGCTTAAGGCAATCCCATCTTCTTTGAAGCAACCGGCTCTTGAGAAGGGTACCCCAAATGAGGCGGTATCCACGATTGCATTAATGGAGACAGTGAGCGAAGTGTTGATGCCAGGAGGTATTACTGAGCAAGTGTCGTTACAGAGATTCCTTCGGCAACTTCCCACGGCATCATCTTGCAAGGAACTGCTTGCTACACTCAGGAGGTGGAGACTGGCCAAGCAACGCGCTGATCATTTAGGAGTCCCAGAACAAGCCCCTCATGAGTCAATTGCTGCATTGAACAGCTTGTGCCAACAGCTTGAGAAAAAGCATGCTTTGTTGGGAACAAGATTGAGCTTGTTGAGATTGCAGCACAACATCCAGGTACCATCCCACGACGGAGTGACATCGTTCCTTCAGGTATTGGAAGCCGAATGTACCCGGATTCAAGCTGAGGAACAGACGTCGTCGTCGTCCAAGGATGCTCGGAAACATGAGGGAGATGAATACGCTATTCCTTCGGCAAATCAGGCTACTGGGGGAAAGGGTGTCGGTGCAAGGCCGTTGTGCTCGTACTTCAATACTGCCAGAGGTTGCCTAAAGGGAGCAAATTGCGAGTTCAGACATGAAAGGGTTTCAAACAAAGGGAAGGAGGCCAAAGGCAAGAGCGGCAAAGATGGGAAGGATGCTGGAAAATCTTCTTCTGAAAAGGGGAAGTCATCTGGTAAGGGCGACGCGAGAGGGATTGCAGATGCAAAGGCGGCTGAAGAAGCAAAGGCTAAGGCCGCTGCGGAAGCAAAGGCTAAGGCTAAGGCGAAGGCTGAAAAAAAGGCGGCCAAAGCGGCAGCAAAAGCAGCAGCATCAGCTAAGGCTTCTTCGGTAGTGCATGTTGCAAGCGCGACTTCAGAGGAGGTTCCATCATTGGTTGGTGCAGTAGGGCCGACTTCATCCGAGTCAACAGCTCCACGCATCATGATGGCACAGAGTCTGGACTGCGAGAGTAATGATTCTAGCGAGTCAGAGTCACTTGAAGCAGAGATTCCTATGAGAGCTGAGGGTGATACGCCAGAGTGGTCGGAAGTAGAGCGTGGCGATTTCTCCAGTGCAGAGCCTTCTTCAGAGGAAGAGTTTCAGGCTGATGAAGATCAGCACCGGCAGGTGCAACCACTTCGTCTATGGGTGTTAAACCTGACGATTGAAGATTTCATCATGTGGACGAGACCTGGTCACATTCAGTCACATGCCACTTCCGAGTTCCAGATGGAAACCAATCCAAACTCCATTATGTGGCCTGTTTGGTGGACGATTGAACAGGATTATCTTGATGACAACGAACAGGGAGTGATCCCTGTGACGGAAGATGTGGTGATGTTGAGGTGCGATGTGACACGAGTGTTGTTTGAGGATGGCATCATTCGGAATGTCTTTGTGGTGTGGCTCCTCGGGGAGGAGACTGGAAGAGAGCGCAGGGTTGCAGTGATTAGAGGGCGAGTTCGTCCCTGTCACTCCGTGGCCAAATCGGGAACTGAGTACAGCAGCCTCAGCAAGCAGCCCTCCAGTTGCGAAGGCACCGACGATCACGGCGCCGCCTCCGGAGTTGCATCAGGGTTTCCCTAGGATAGGTTATCCCATAACTCCTCTAGCTAAGGCTGCAGCTTACGCTTGGAGAGCAAACGAGATTCAGGCGATTGAAGCTGTCACAGCAGTACCCAAAGCAGCAGCGAAAGCAGTAGCTAGAGCATTCCAGGTTCCATTCGTTACAGCCCCTCGAGCCAAAGCTACAGCATTTCCCAAAGCACGAGCAGTGGCGAGAGCACCTCGAGGAGGAGCAACAATGCCGACAGCCATGCGTTGTGTATGTGTTCAGGAAGAGCTTGATTTTGAACCTCCCATGTTGGTTGGAGCTAAGGCTGAGCCAATCACCGCTAGCAGACTTGAGTGTGTTGATCAACCAGTTGGAAGTGCAGTGGTCAGTCAGCAGCCGTCGGTGTTGGTGGATTCGGGTGCAAATGAGACTATTCGTCCTTGGCTTGCAGATATAGAGGAAAGTGGATGTACCCACACAGCCGTTGTAACTGCGAGTGGTGATCGAGTAGCCGCGCTTAGAACCAGGGATGGAGAGTTATGCATCAAGCCCACCGAGGATAGTAGGGACTGGCTGTTGAGTGTTCGTCGGCTCGTGGAGGCTGGTGGAACTTTCAAGTGGGATCGAGAGGCAGCAACAGTATCTTATTTTGACGGTGAAGGGCATGAGCAGTATGTGGATTGCAGGATTCAGAATGGGTTGCCCTTTCTTGATTGGGAGAGCTTCAAGCCGATTCGGATCATGCTCTCAAAACACTTCAAACGCAGGCCAACAGTTGCACGCGCAGCTACAGAGACAGCTCTTGAGTGGAAGAGTTGCCAAACATGTTCCATCGAGGAGTTGAGCGAGGCTGTGTGGAATGAAGAGGCATACCGCATGACAGCCGAAGAGAGCGAGGAGATCGCAAAGGCAATTTGGGAGTCAGAGTCTAGAGCTAGAGAGCTTTTGAGTCGTGACAGTATATCGCATGAGGATGTGTGGCGACTTATCCGGGAGGCACACTTGAAAGGTCAAAGAACGCATAGGCAGGATATGTTGGTGAATCCAGATCAAGACCGAGTACAAATCTGGATATTCGGAATGTTTTGCCACGGGGGAGTTACAGGGATCACCACTGTTACCCGCGAACGACCTTTCTTGACAAGGTTACTGGTCAGATTCATTAGACAGGAGTTGCCGACTTTGACGCTTACCACGATCTCACTGGCAATCGATGCTACCCTGCGTCCGCACAGAGACCTTACGAACGCTGTGGGGTCAGTGGCGGGAATCGTGGGAATTTCCAAATTTGAGGGTGGCAAGCTGTGGATTGAAGATTCAGCTGGCACGGCCAGGAGACGTGTATCGCAGGATGAAGTCAAAACTGGAATGCTGCTAGACGTGTGCCAAAAGGCACACATCTTTGACCCAAGACGTTGGCACGGAGCTGATCAACATCGGGGTGTTCGATCAACGGTGGTCGGTTACACGGCTAGGCAGCTGCAGCGTCTTGATCAGGATATGACAGACAGGTTGAGACGATTGGGTTTCAACTTACCAGAGATTTCATCCAAGGCCGCAGTTGCAGTCGCGAGCCAGGGCAAGGCCATAGCGCATCCAGCAGTCAGTGAGGTTTCAGATCATGGAGCCCAGGAGAACAGCAGAACGCATCCAGATGATTTTGATGATGAGGATGAGGGTGAGGGCTGTTCGGGATATGAAGGGTTTGTTTCCTCCGGTATGTCGGGTCGCTGTGAGCATTGTGGAGTATCGCTAGTCCGGGCCTTAGACTCATCCGTGCAGCCATGGAGCGTCCGAAGCGCTGAAGCTGTGAACCCTGTATCAAGCTTTGATGAAGTCTCGCAACAGAGGGCGATTGAGCTACTCAGGAGGAAGTGTGCACAAGGGTTGTACGAGCGTCATTGTCCCAGCTGTGCTGAGGCCCACGGTCATAAGCGCAAGTGCAGGCGATTGACTCCGGAAGAGATCGGTGAGGGCACTTTGTCCATGGACCTGTCAGGTCCCCATCCGGCCGCATTTTCAGGACATCGCTACTTCATGGTTGCAAACTTGAGCAGAAAGGACGGTGTTGACATTCAAACAAACTGAAGAGGTGGCAAAAGCCTTGACCTCTGTGATGTGCCAGATTGTATCGCTTGCTCAGGGTGTTCCCCCAGTGTTCCGTATCCACAGTGATGCTGGTAAGGAGTTCGTGGGAGGAGCATTTCAGAAAGCAGTGGAGCAGTGTTGTGTGTGGCCCACAATGAGTGCACCATACACGCCACAGCAGAATGGTCGGGCAGAGAGGCTTGTAGGATTGCTTAAGGCAGCGGCGGGATCCCTGTTGCTGCATGCGCAATTCCCTTTGCAATTCAAGGACGAGGCAGTGCTGGAAGCCACCTTCCTGCGGCGATGTAGGGCATTGAAACTTCTGGTCCCGAGGGACCGCCCGAAAATGGGCGACACAGTGTTTGTGCGAAAGCCAACAAGCTCCGCAGGGCATCCATTCGAACCTAGGGCAGAGGAGGGCCTATTCCTGGCCAATGATGAGCGAACGCCTGGTGGGGCTCGGGTTCTGGTAACACGGGACGGTAGGACCGCTGTGCGTGTGACGCAGATGCCAGTTCTTAGAAGCTCGCCCCTCTTTTTTGCCCCGTGCTTGGAAGTATTCCACTGGATCTCTCGGCCGGAAAGTGAGCCGTGCTTAAGCAGGGCCGCCAGGAATATACCATCTGGCTCAACAGCCATCCAAGGAAAATGTTCCCCGCCAGCAGCCGACGGGTGGGAGGGCGGGGGCTGCAAAGACTTGAGACGGAACATCATTCGGCACTCGCTTCTATGCATCAGAAGCTCGCCCCTCTTTTTTGCCCCGTGCTTGGAAGTATTCCACTGGATCTCTCGGCCGGAAAGTGAGCCGTGCTTAAGCAGGGCCGCCAGGAATATACCATCTGGCTCAACAGCCATCCAAGGAAAATGTTCCCAAATCTCCCACACATTATAGACCAGTGAAAGGCCGCTCGCCGGCAGAAAACAATGAGTACCAGGAGGCAGGCGGGACGCCAACGCGTTTCCATGTGCGCGCCTGTTCCAGAAGCGCCGTAAAAGCATGTGCGAGGCACAAGATTTTCTCACGAAGCTCAAAGGGAAGCGCAGGGAAGTACACGGCAGCCTGGACCTCCTGTATATAAATCTCCATCACTCGCTGTGATGCCCACCTTCCTCTCCGTCGCACCAGCTCGCTATCTTCAGTTTGCCTCATAAGAAAAGTTGCGCCACCTGGCCTAAAAGAACCAAGGTCCAAAGGCCGACGCGTGCCACGGGCAGTGGGCAAGCCAATCCTCTCCAGAACGAGGTCAAAGCGGCGTCGCAAAGTCTGAGCGGACTGGGGCCACAACCGGCACGAAGGCTGCAGATCCGCAAAGGCCAGGTGGGCCAAAGCAACCAGGTCGCTCTGCTCCAGCTTCGCGCTCTGGTGCCTCGCCATTCTCATGCGAGTCTTTGGCTCTTCGATCCGAATAAGGGCAAAAGCCTGAAGGAACAACACGTCGGACGGCAGGATAAGGTCGCACCTCCTAGCTGAAGTAGCCTCGCCAATCCTTAGCAAGCCCCCCCAGCTGAGGCCAAAGATACCTGCTTCGCGAAGCCAACCCCAAAACAAGCAGACCGATAACATGGCAGCAAAATCACAGGGGGCATCGCCACGTGGTGCGTGCTAGGCTCCTTTGCCATCCAGCTGAAAGCAAGGTCCCAGGCCCCCTGCAAAGTGCGCCGCAAAGTCGGCCGAAGAGAGGCAACGCCATTGATCGTCTCTGAGTAGTGCGAGTAGGGCCGACCGGCCTCAAAGAGCTGTCTCCCATATGCAACCAGCCAAGACGCGACGACCTCAGGGTCGAGGGGTTTTGCAGACAGCAGCCCATCCAAAGTGAGCCCAAACTCACCCAGCCAGGCGCCGAAGGCTTGAAGCAGTTGTTGCCGATTCCGCGTGGTCCGGTCAAGGACTGGCCGGCCTTCACCAAGTTGTGTGCCGAGCCTTGCCTTGGCACGGGCAACGTCCCTCTTATCGCGAGGGCCAAGCAGAAGTCTTGCAGAAGACGCACCAGATGGTGCAGCTGGCCCTTCCCCAGGGTAACCAAGCGTACTGTCAAAGTCTCGCCGCACCTCGGGCTCAGAGCAGCTAGGCTTCAAGAGACCCGAAGCCGGAAGCCCGCGCCTATGCTTAAGGGAGAGGGACCTAATTAGGGAACCGCAGCAACCCCTGGCACGAAGGCGTGAGTAGAGGAGGGCAAGGCGAAGCCAGCCAGCAGAGGGCCTGGAAAGTCCAAGGAGACAGCTGAGCTCATACAGGGAGGCGTCGGGAAGACCTGAAGAAAGGGAGGCCGGGCAACAAGAGCGGAGAGCAACGCTCCTAGTCGGATCATCGGAAGTGTTCAGCCTGGTGGGGCAGAAGTGCAGACCAGGATAGAGGCCATAGGCAGCCTGAATCGCAGCTGACTGCTTGACCAAGGGCAGGAGCCGAATCGAAGAAGTTCTCCCTTTGGTAAGGGCGCCCAAGGAAACATAGGAGTCCAAGCCATGCACGAAACGGCGATCCTGGCCACAACCAGCCCTGTCACGGAGAGCACAAAGAAAGGAGCGAGCCTCAAGCACATTGTTTTGCGGCCTGTCCCGCCAGGCCCAGGAGCGGGTGACCTGCCAGGCTGACGTCAGCATAACGTCATTGAAGAGCAGGCTCTCAAGACCAGGTCTGGGCCCGGCGTCAGTGGGCAAGAGGCACAAGGAGGCCCGCAAAGCATCAGCAAAGGGACCGGCACAAGAAGTGCCACGAAGTACTGGAAGGGAAGGTAGGGCACGAGCAAGTTCAGGACGCCCAGCCGCCGAAACCAAAGCAACAGCAGGCTGAGGGGCCGTGGAAAAAGCGTCACAGCCAACAAGTGTAGTCTCGAAGGCTCCCCGGCGCGCACAAAGGTTCCTCCACTCAGGAGTGCCACGAGCAAAGCTCTGCAAAGGGTGGAGGACGATAGCGATAGCATTGCACCTGGTAGCAACGAGAAGCACACAGAGAGCCGCCCGGAGAATTGCATCCTCATGCCGAGTGCGCCCAGAATGGACCCTGACACGAGGCAGATCCCAGGCGCGGACGCGTGGCAAAAAAGCCGAGGAGAAGGAGCCGACCGGGGGCACCAGCAGAACCGACCTCAGCCTGTCGTCTTGCAACATGAAAAGGATCCACTCCAGACAGCGAGGCTCGCGAAGGGAAAAGTGAGGGGAGGCCCGGAAGTCCACCACGGGCCCAACAGAGCAGCCGGCACCTAAGAGCCCAGTGAGCCAAGGCCCGCCGCATCTAACCTCAATGAAGTCATATCTGCAAGCGATCGGCCTCTCGACGTCTGGGCTGTTCTCAGGAGAGGGGGGCTCTTCAGAGGCCTCCACCCCGAGGCGAGTGTACCAACCTCTCTGGTCAGCTGTTTGCCAAAGGTGCGCCGCGACAGAAGAGCGAATGGCAGCGGTACAAACTGCCCCCCGCGAGGACGAAGCATCCGAGCAAGAGACCTCGGCAGAGAACTCAGCAGACACATTCGAGACCATAGCCGGCACGAGGGCCGCAAGCAGAACAAGGTCCTGGCGAGCCGCTGAAGGAAGAGGCCGAAGCCGGGAAGCATCAGAGCAAGCCTCCTTTTTTCCGAGGGAGAACAGGGCCCCGATAGCCGCCATCAGCGCCCTACGGTAGAGGAGGGCAGTGACCCAGGACCCCGCAAGGATCGAAGCAAGCTCCTCCGAAATCCATCGGCCAGAGGCTATGACAAGGGAAGCCTGAGACAGGGCAAGGCGACGGGCAGCCGGCAGGCCAACCAAAGTCATCGGGGCAGCGTTAGTCTCGGGAGAGCTGTCAACCTGGGCGCCTGCCACAAAACCCGCTGGCTGAACTGGTCCTTGTGGTCGGAGCCGGGTACTCCTTCACACTCGTAGGCGTTTTTCGCGGTCCTCAGCAGGCGTTCGCTCTCGGAGGCATAGGCGGCAGCAGGGCTCTCAGGGCCAGGGCTCCTTTCACAGGAGATGCAAAAAAGGTCATCAATGATGAGACCTGTCCAGGGGCCGTGGCACGCGACCGGGCACCGGTTCAGAAGTCTCCCCTTGGCAGGGTCCCCCAGCACGCCACAGGAGCGAAGAAGACCTTCATGCCCCGCACAAGCAAATTCCACGCCGGCATGGTCGCCTTGCAGCAAACTCAAGAACGTGCCGTGGACCGGGAGGTCCGCAGAAGCAAGAACGGAAGCCGGCCGGAAAAGGGAGCAGGCACCAGCGTGCGACAAGATGGCCTTATCGGCCTTGGCCATGAAATCTGCGTATGCCTGTGTACCGTAAAACTGCTGCAGGGAAAAGACTGGCCCAATGGCATTCGAGCGTCCCCGGCTTTCACTGACCTTTGCCTGGTGGTAGAAATCCTGGCGGTCGACGCAAGACCCGAAGAGCGCACAAGACGGAAGGGGGCACGAGAGCCGAGTGAGAAGGCTGCCGGCCGGAAGCCGGGAGGACGGTCCTCCCACAATCCGGGCCTCCTTGTTGTTCACATTTCGGCGGTCGCCGATCTGCCTGTCCCTTCCAGGGTCTTTGTAAGCCCCGAAGATGCGCACGAGGTCAGTGGTATGTAGGGGGCCTTGCACTATGCCTAAAAGCCCTAAAGCATCCCACTTCCTAAAGAGCCCGAGGGTCTGGCTCCTGGACTCGTGTTCGAAAGTAGGGCCAGGCGCAAGTGCAGGGACAAAGGAGCGGAGGGCACGGGGCTCCAAATACAACATAAGGAGGTCGGGGCCCAGATGCCTTTCAAGCGGCCAGGAGCCTGTGCCCGACAACGCAATGCGATCTGAATCCAAGTCCCGATAGGGTGCCAGATCCTCGGGACCACCAGGCAGGTGAGGCACAAGCGGGGCCCCAAACTCGGGCACGGCGGCCGCTCGTCCCGCTTTCCCAAAATAGCAGGTTTCATCAAGGCCCGCGGCCCTCAAAAAGTGAAGCACCTCAGCATGGCGAGCAGCAAGCTGGATGCCACGACGGCCCGACGTGAGAGTGGAACCTCCCAAACGGGCACACGCCTTCACAAGCTCCATCAGACGGTGCAAAGCTGAGGCTTGCAGCTCCGAGGGAGGCCTCCGCAAACAGGCCGGTGGTATGTGCTTCCCCCCAGAGTGGAGGAAATTCAGAGACATCACCAGCACATGGTGGGCAACCCTAGTCAGGTAGGGCAGCCTGCGCTTTTGTGAGCGCTTCCGGGACCGCTTCAAGAAAAGGCCGTCGGACGGCAGCGGAAGCGGGAACAAGGCGGTAGCGACCTCCAAATTGGGGTCGCGGCACAGGGGCAGTGTGGAACTCAAGAAATGGCCAAAGGCGGTCCCACTTTTCAGGACCAGTCTGACCAGAGAAGAAGACCAAAGGCAAAAGTTGAATTCGCGGCCCGGCAGGAAAGGCGAGTCATCCACCGGGTGGCGGGCATGCACAGGCGAGGACGCGTCAGAAGCCGCGCCCCCGCGGGAAGTCACTTGCTCGCGGCCGCGCGCTTTGCGGCCCAGGCTGCCCCGCGCGCCTGCTTCTTTGTCAAGGCTTCCTGGTCGGTCTTGGTGGGAGCCTTTGGGACCTCCGGCGGTACATGTGGTGGCTGCGGGTGCTTGCGTGGCGGCTGCAGCTCGGCCCTCCGGGCCGTGATGGTCTCGACTTCCTTCAAGTAAGAGAGGCCTATTGTAACCCACTTCTGTTCCGCCAGCGGAGAGAAAGCTCTGGCGGCCGGGCCGGCCGACCCAGACACGTCTTGGTAAACACTGGCCGGCAAGTCGGGCTGAAGGCCCAGCACCCTGTAAGTTCGCCTGCTCTTGGGCCAAAGAAGCTACTGTGTGTCGCTTGGGCTTTGGATTTGGGACCTTCGGGCGCCGTGGTACCGGTTCCTCGGCCGCCGTATGGTAGCCAGACCTTAGCTCGCCAAGCGCTTCGGCCGCCCACTCCTGAGTTTGACGCAGGACGTCCGAGGCGAGGGGGAAAAGGCCCGGGTCCTCTTGCATGAAAGGGACACCCCCAAAAGCCGTCAGCTCGGGCACGGACAGCGCCCCCACAAGAGACGCAGGCAGATCCACCACCAAAGCGGCCACGAGCTCCCCTGACTCGGCCGTACGCCACTTTTTTTGGCCGCTCAGACGGACGGCCGGGGCCATCAACTCGAGAGAGGGCCCAATGCCCGCCGCCTCCTCGTTGGACTGCCCTGCAAGCGTTTCCTCCTCCGACAAGTACCAAGGGCAGGCAGAGGATAAACCCGGCAGGGCGTTTCATCACCACATAGCATATGCAAGTCAGCGGCTCGCCGTCGGCATCCGGATCGGCTGGGAACGGCCATTGGAACTCTAGCAGGGTAACACCGCCTGCCTCCACAGAGGGGAGATCACTGAACTCCATCACGCAGCCGGGAAGTCGAGCTGGGCACCTGCAAAGTAAAGCCTAGCCTCGGCCTCGGAAGGAAAACCGTGCGACACAGAGCCGCCCGGACGCAGCTCACCTACAATGGCCTTGTAGGCAGCAAAGGTCCTCACCACACACGGCCTGTCGAGACCCTCTGCGACGAGCACACAGTAGAGCCTGTTTGGGAGGCCCACGGACCCAAGGCTATTCGGAGTGGAGACCCTCTGGTCCAAGACAGCCCTGGCCCAACAGCCAGCTTCCCAAGCTCTCAAGGCCCTCAATCGCCAATCCAGAGAGCCTCCGTGAAGGTTCCGGCACGTGTCCCGGAGCTCAACAGAAAGCAATGGAAAGGAGGCCTTGATCTGAGACCTTGACTCCGAAGAGCCCTGCAAGGGGTACTCTGGCACACGCGAGGGTGAGGACAGCAAAGATCGGGGAGCGGCTCTGGCGGCCCGCTTCGGTGTAGCCGGGGTCTGGTCGGAAGGTGAGCGGACCCGGAGTGAAGGCAGGGGCCCCGGAAGGCCGTGCAAGGGGGACTCTGGCACCCAAGCGGGAGAGGAAGCACGAGAAAGCCAAGGAGCAGAAGGCGAACCAGTGGCAGAAGGAGCCTCACCCAAGTCCAGGGGAGCACGGGGCCCGGAGGCCTGCAAGGGGTAAGGATCAGGCAAGACAGCCGAAGAGGAGTAGGGAGGCGAGGGGTCGGCAGAGCCAGGGAAATCCACAATCTCAAAGGAAGAGGCTGAAGATTCCAAAGACTGGCCCGAAGTTGCAGGGAGGGGTGCTGCTTTGGAAGAGGCTTTACTGACCGAAATCCTATAACCACTAATTTCCAAATGCAGGTCACCGTCCATACGCGTAGGCAGCAAGCCGCCTGTTCGCCCCCGTCGCCTTCGGGCGACTCGCAGGTGGCTCCGGAGCAGGAGCCTGAGCCACAACCAATCTGCAGTTGTGCCACGAAGCAAAAGCCACCAGGGTAGCCAAAACCCCCAGCAGAAAGGCCGCAAGGAGGCCTCCAAGGCCCGGCCCTCTGCAATGCCCAGGGCACGCCAGGCCCCACCAATTTGTATCGGAACCTTCCTGAAGGAGTCCCAGGATGTTCCGAAGCAGGCCGAGGTTCATGAACCCTGAAAAACCCCGGGCTGCAAAGACTTGAGACGGAACATCATTCGGCACTCGCTTCTATGCATCAGGGATGTTGAGGCGGTCCGATGGCGACTTGAGCGAGGCCCCCAAGATCAAACTGTGTGGGTGAGCACCACTGGGATGTGAAATGGAATGCTCCACCTTCTGACATGACTACGGTCGAAGAGTCGGTAGGGGAAATCCAGCCGTGGAACGACGGGAACACTGCATCTGAGATCATCAGGGAGCGCTTCAAAAAACATTTGGTGCCCGAGGCTGAAAAGCACTTGTTTGGATTGTTTGGTCATGGGTTCTTGGTGACTCCAGTGGAACAAGAAGAACCCGACGGTGAAGCCAGGGTAGGGGTGGTTAAAGTTGAAAGGCCAAATCCTGAAAACACCAAGACGAAGTATGTGATCTATTTTTTTTTTTTACGCGCCTTTTTCCGTCAGCAGGAAGGTCCCGCTCCTAGTGGAGTACGGTCACGGTCCCGAGTTAGGGCCGGTTCAGCGCAGCGGCAGGCGGCTCGGCCCGTCTGGGTCGGCCAGGTGGAGGACTTCATCCAGGGCCGGCGCATCGGTGTGTGCCGGTCCCGGCATGGCCCGGGCGCGCCCTAACGCCGTGTGACCAACGGCCTGCTGGACCGCTACGGAGAGCACGCTCCACCAACGGCGGGCCCAGGCTGTCTTTGCGGAGGCTCGCAACGCAGGCGGGGCTCGGTACGCACGGAGTGCGACGAGGCGTTGGACCAGCTTCACTGCGTCAGCGTTCCACCGCCCACCCACTTCGCAGCCGAGCACGCAGAGGGCTTGTGCGCCACCTGCCGCGAGCTCGGGGTAGGTGGCTTGTTTGCGCCGATAGGCGGTGCGCAGAACCGCTCCATCCTGTGCGGCCGCGCCTGGGTGGGGTTCGCCGTCGCGCGTGAGAGGCGAAACTAGGGTCGCATCGCAGCAGAGCGCGCCACCCAGTGGCGCGGCGCCGTAGATGACGAGGTCGAGGCGCCTGCGGTCGTCGGGCGCGACGCCCAGCGCAGTGGTGTTGACGAGCCATTGTTGGGGCACTACGTGTCCCTCAGGCCCCACGGCTTCCCGTGCAACCTTGCACCAGGCCCGCTCAACAAGTTTGGCTCGCCTCGCCAGGAGGCCAGTACGAGGGCACGCGAGTGCATGGTCTCCAAGGGCATCTGCACGGTGGCCGCACCCAGGTTCCGAGGCGCTCCCGCAACGGCCAGGCGCGAGCGGGAGTGGAAGCCGGAGCCGGCGACGCAACGCGATCTGCATGGCCTCGGGCGTGAGCGACGTGTGGGAATCGCTGGGGATTGCTTGCAGCCATGCACCGGCATGCGGACCGGCCTGGGGACGCAAGAGCGCGCGGTGAGGAGGTGGCAGAGAAGGCAGCAGCACGTGGTCGCGGAAGAAAAGGTTACGTGTACGCGACGCAGAGTGTTGCCACCCATGCCTCCATTCACCGGGCTCGGCGATCCCGTCAGGTCGGTCGGGTGGGCGGGCTCCCTGAACCACGCACTCCCAGGAAGGCACATCCGTCCAGCCTTCGGCTGCAAGCAGCCCACGGGCCGCAGAAGCTGTTCGAAGGCATGCTGGGCCACGCGCGTCAGCGAGGCAGCGGACGGCCCAGTCCGTAAAGGCCGGGCACCGTTCGCGGAGCACTGTGAGGGCATCGGCCCAAGCCGCCCAGTACGCCGCGGGGCTGGTGCGCGTGGCTTGCGACAGTCCCAAACCTCCCAGGCTGGCAGGGAGCAAAGCAATGTCCCTTGCAGGGCACGACTCGTCCTCCGCGGTGGCGCCCAGACAAGCCTGGAGGGTGCCCCATACGGCTGCGTCATGTGCGGCGGCATATGGCGCATTGAGGTCGGGAGGGACGGTCCGGAGCGAATGGTTAGCGCGGGGTGCGGCGCAGAAGCTGAGGAGGAGCCATGCGCACTGCAGGTCGGGCAACTTAGGCAGCTGGCGCAGCAACGCGTCTTCCGCTTCGAGTCTTTCGGCGCCCCAGGCGCGGACGTAGTCTGGCGTGCCAATGGGGGTGCCGAGTGCGACGAAGCCATGCTGCTGTGGGGGCCGGCTGCCGCGCCAGACTTCGGAACCCAGATCCGCGATCCCTGGCGGCGGCGGCCCACCTTCGTAGTTGAAGACACGCGTCTTGCCCAAGTTGGCGGATATGCCCGCATGCGTCTCGACCGCTCCTGTTACCAGATCCAGGGCGGCTCGCGCACGACTGGGCTCAGGCAGGAGAACGTACAGGTCATCGAGGAAAGCCATGAGCGATTCACCCTGCTGCAGCTGCGAGTCTGCCCAGCGCAACGCCTCGTGCTGGCCAAGGGCGAAGAGGGCAGGGGCGAGGGGGTCGCCCTGTTCGCAGCCCTCTGCCTGGCGTATGCCGTGGCGGACCCCGTCAGAGTCCCACCATTGGTATTCCGACGTCTGGCCGTAAAAAACACGTACGAAGGGCACGAGCGCGGGTGCCACCTCGCACAGTTTGCGCAAAAACGCCGCCCGGGAGATACAGTCGTAAGCACTCCGCCCATCCAGGGAAACAACGGTGGCTCGAGCGTCGTTTTCCAGGGTCGCGCGGAGTCGGGCCGACAACGCATCCACTCCCGCTCGAGTGCGAAGCGCGAACTGGTATGGCCTGGTAGCCTGATCGAAAACAGGCGCCCACGCAGCAGCTAGCGAGCGCGAGACGAGCCGACGGAACATGTCGCCCGTCGCGATGCCTCGCACGCCTCCTCCGGGCTTGCGAATCGCCGTCATGCGGGTCAACGCGATCCCCTCCGCGACTGCACGCGGGATCGCGGCCTGCGCCAGCAGATTGGCTGCTTCGGTAAGCAGCTCCAGGTCATCGGCATGGCCCAAAAGGAGTTTGTAGTGCTCAGCACGAGCGCCGGACAGTCCGGGTGCACTCCCCCGCTTGGCTTCGCGCAGGCTGCGGGCGACTGCGGTGGAAGTGAGGCGCACGGGGGTCGGCGGCTGGAACTGCAACACCTCTGGCGGGATGGGCTCGCGCACGCGCACAAGCCGCTTCTCTCCGGCGCTCGGCGGCTGCTTCCGTATTGAAGTCGGTCGCTGGCCTGAGCGGAGCACGCGTGGCGCGTGCGGCCGCTAGGAGCCCGGGCCAGAGCCCTTGTTCGTAGTGTTGCAGTCGCATCAAGAGGACGCGGCGTCCATCACTACCCTGCTCGGCCGGCCGCGCGAGGAGCATGCGGGGTGTCAGCAAGAACAGCTTGCACGCGCGTGCTCGGATGCTATCATCAAGCGGTCCCCTGTAGGCATCGCGGATGTGTTGGAGGCTGTATGCGAGCGCCCGGCGCACGCCAGCTCGCACAAACACGGGTACTGACTGCAACGTCGGGACGGGATGGCGGAGCTCGTCGATGAGGTCGACGTCGTCCAGCGCGTGCAGCGTGGGAGGCCTCGTATGGCTGCATGGGAGTGAAGACGCGGGGCACTCAAGCACCTGCGAGGCTTCCAACAAGGTGGAACAGCAGATGATTAAGGATGAGGCAACATCTCAGCGCTTGATGGTCACAGAAACTGCTGACGCAGGGGTGTTCGTGAATCCATCGACTCCGGAGTGGGAGCTCAACAAGTGGATGGCAGGACTCAACAAGGAGCTAGACACCATGGAAACCAAGAATGTGCTGGAGAAAGTTCGGCAGAGCGAGTTCCCAAAGGCAAAGCCGGTTCCGAGTAAGCTGGTGCTAACCAAGAAGCCAAAGGAGGATTCGGAGGTAATCATCAGATCGGACATGGGTGCTTCGGAAATCGCTGCTCTCATTCAGCAAGCTTGGAATCCTAGAGTCCGGCTAGTTGCTTGTGGAAACTTCGAGAAGGATTCAAAGGCACATGATCCAGAAAACTTTGCAGGAAATCCAGGTGCGGAGACTGTGAGAATCTTGCTTTCGCTACTGGCGAGGCGTCCTACCAACATGACGGCGGTGGTCCTGGACATCTCATGCGCATTCCTGAATGCCAGACTTGATCGAAGTCCGGATGCGAAACCGGTGCTCATTCAGCCGCCGAGTATCCTGTACAAGCTTGGCCTCCTTGAAAAGGGCTTTATCTGGCGTGCCCGGAAAGCGATTTACGGATTACGGTGGTCCCCCCGTCAGCGGGAGCTGGAGCGAAATGGCGAACTAGATGGTGTAACATTAGAGCCGCTTCCTCACCATGAACACGGATTGCTGAACTTGGAAAACCTGGAGTCAGGGACATGGTTGATTCGAGACTCGAGTGGGGAGATCCAGGGCGCCATGGTCATGTACGTGGATGACGCGCTGATCATTGGTGATTTGGAAATCTGCGCTAGGCTGAAGGCAAAGCTGTCCAGTTTGTGGGACTTGAAGGTTCAAGGAATCCTCCAAAATCCTCACATGAATCTCATGGTTAGGGAAACAATCATGCTGGAAAGCACGCCCGTTAATGTGAAGGATGAGCTATCTTTCCTCGGCATGAAGATTGGAAGGGATGCCACCGGGATCTACTTGCATCAACACGCTTGGATTTCCACAGAGTTAAAGAAACGTGGATGGAGCACGATGGGGGGTTGTGATAATCTTCCTGATGTAGAAGAAGGTGTGTGGATGCCAAAGGAGCACACGGGTCAGCACTATGCTGATTTGAAGATGTGCCAGAAGGAACTGGGTTGTCTATAGTGGGTGAGTGTGCCTGCGTAGCAGACCGGATCTGAGTGCATATGTCGGCACACTGGCGAGTCTGCAAACAATTTATCCTGCAAAGGTTCTTCAGCTTTGCACCCGAGCATGGAAGTACTTGAAAGGTACCGAACATGTAAAGCTACACCACGACTACACTGATGCAGTGAAAGAGTGCTTGAACTGTTATGGTGATGCCTCTTGGGCAACAGGAGCATCCAGATCCAGATCAGGCGTATGGATTGCATGGGGAAATCATGTTGTGATGTGGCGGTCATGTCGTCAAACCACGTGCGCATGGTCGGCTTTCGAGGCTGAGGTGGATGCAGCCGCAACCACATGTCAGAGTGGAGCTCAGATCAAACACCTACTGAG